AACCCAAACCAGTCTGGGATTCTATGATGTAGCATGTCCAGGCTCCATTCCTGGCTCACACAGGGTGTGTAGCATGTCCAGGATCATCTCCTGGCTCACAGAGCATGTCTAGGATGTTCAAGTTCATTTTCTGATTCACGTATCTTACGTAGCATGTCCAGGTTCATCCACTGCCTCGTACAGGACGTGTGGCATGTTCAGGTCATGTAACATGTTTAAGTTCATTTCCTGGCTCACCCAGGGTTTGTAGCACGTCCAGGTTCATCCTCTGGCTCCTACAGAGCACGTAGCATGTTCAGAAGCGCGGGGCAGCGGGGAGGGAGCCGGCGGCAGCAGCGTCCCTGGTCCTGGCCCTTTCGGTGCCAGATAGCCGGAGAGATGAGCCAGAGGGGTTTGTGTGTCCCAGGGCTGTGCTCGAGATTTCACCTGAGAGACCTGGCAAGATCGAGGGCTGAGAAAACCCAAACTCTGAGGTCTTGATTATGGGATGTATTTGTCTTATCGAGGCCATAGTGCACAGGTCTGGAAATGTGCTTGTGAGCTGTCGTGAACCGAGGCCTGAGAAGCTTCCTGAGCATCTTCTCCCTCCCAGTGTTTCCTCATCAGTCGTCTGGCTCCTAACCGACACGTTTGTAAGTTGTCAGTGTGGTCTGTGGTTTCCCTGCGGGTTACGCAGAGAAAACGTGACAGAGGAAATGATGTGACAAACAGGGTCGCTCTCGGGGTCAGATTGTTGGATTTATTGTGCCATCAAGTGCCACTTTGGTGTTTCTGGGCGACTCAAGTTCTTCCACCACGGAAGTCCGCGGTGGCTTGTTAGCCTCTGTGCTGGAGGAAGAAGCCGTGTGCCTCCCTTGGGTGAGACGTGCTCCAGCAGAGCCTGAGATTTATTCCCTACCCTGCCATTCCCATCCTCCACGGAGAAAAAAGTGAGGAGAGGCTGTGTGGGGAGGAGACGACGAAGGAGGAGCAGGAGGTGATGTCCTTTCACTGGTGGAGATCCCCGACTACAGGGATAGTTGTCCCTTCCCTTCGGCCGTGCGGGGTTGGCAGCGTTTTCTCTTGGCTCTCCCAAGGCTGGAGCTGGTGCAGAGGTTTTTGGGAGATGAGTTGGTGTGAGCGGATCACTGAGGGACTCCCCTCTCCCTAGATCCCTACGGGATTTGGTGCCCAGCTAGAAAGGCCTTTCTTCTAATGAGATCTGAGCTGGAGGCATCTTAATGCCAGAGCTCTTCCTTGCGAGAGCACCCTCAGGCGCGTGACTGCGCAGCGACCGAGCTGTTACGGTAATTTCTGCTGACCTAAATTCTCCTCTTTGTTTTGAGCTGCCTCCTGCTTTGTGCTCGACTGCCCACCCTAAATCTCTAGCTGCCACTAAGTGCTCGCTGCCGTCGTTCCCAGAAGAGGCTGCGTGTTTCCTGGGGGGTTGGTTGGGTTCGGGAATCACTGGGGCATCACTGGATTGAAAGGAGCCCCTGAGACTGAGGGTCCTTCTCTTTTCTGTGGTGTGTTCTTCGTGCAGGGCCACTCTGCGGTCAGACCTGCAGGGTCACTTAGGATTCAGCTGGAAGCTGGAGAGTAACCTGGGTATCTGCTGTCTTCAACGGTGCAGGTGGGGCAGTGATGCAGATGGGATGTGATCAGCTCAGCGTTTGACTAACGTGATACAAAGATTTGATTTGCCCCCACACATCGCAGCGCTCAACCACAGCAAGAGCCGTTCCTTCCCCGTCTCTTGCTCTTCGGAATTTGTTCCTCGGGCCAGTTCTGTGTTACTTCACCCCGTTAACTCAGCAGACACTTTCTCAATAGCTTTTGTGCACTGATAATTGTGGGTTTATATCCAGAATTGCCCGGAGCCTTTCCACCGCTGGCCAGGCAGGGGCTCAGCGAGGGACAAACACTCTGAGGACGCTGCAGCTCGTGTTTAACGAGCCTCGTCTCTCCCTGGCACAGGACGGGCTGTTAATTAAGGATGATCAGACCAAGCTTCACACAAATCCAAAAATAATTTCAGAATGGATCGGTGGTGATTTATTATTGTGCTTTAGAGGCAGGGAGACAAAAAACATGACTACATCAGAAATTATAAGTTTTCTAGAGTCAGCTGGTGTTTCTGGGCTGGGGAGTGACCCGTGTGCTGGCTCCGGGGCCTCGCTGCGTGGAGATCTGATGGTAGAAGGTGACTTAAGGTTGGCACGGAGCTGCTGCTGATCTGCTGCTCTTCTAGATCCTGGAGTCAGGGAGGGAGCAACATCCCCTCTTTTGTTTCTGCTGGTTGGGAGATGTGTGTGTGTATGTACAAGTGCAGGTTTTTCAGAGCATCCTACACCATCTTGCATAAAAGATGTAAACCCTGTGTAAATACATAAATAAAACCTGTAAACCCTGGGCTGACTCAGGCCCTTCCTCTGGAGCTGGACAGGCGGGACAGCCGCACGGGGAGTTCTCTGCTGCTTCCCACTCCAGTCCCCTGGGCTGGTTTCTCTGTTGCTTTCTCGGATGAGCCCAACAAATGAAAAATAAAGAACGTGTCCTGTGATAATGCGGCAGAACTGGCTGTGACGCAGAGAGCACACAGTTATGTGTGTGGGAAGTGTTCAGATGCCTTAAAAACTATTTGTGGGCTCTCTTCTTTAAGGGCAGAATGACTGGGGAGTCATTCAAGCTTCTGGCTGGAGAAGCGCGTCTTGATTCAAAGCTTTCTGTGAGGAGGAGGAGGAAGAATGAGGACCAACAGCCTCCTCGAGGATGAGGTGCAGGACCCCCTGTTAAGGCTCAGAGGCTCGTGCTTATCTGATCTGGAGTGAGAGAGAGCCCAGCCTGATGGTCTGGAGGAGCAAGACCTGTTCTCGATGACCAGACTGGCTGTGGTACCTGCTAAGGTGGGCAGGAGGTTTGCAGAGTGCTTGTGAAGGGAGCCTGAGACCTCCCCAGATGAGCTGGAGGATGACGAGGGACGTTGATGAAAGGGCTGGGAAGCTGATTTCACTCACGGGCTGTGACAAGGTGGAGGGAGGTTGAGGAGGGAGCTGGGCTCTCCCAGCACATCAGCGGGACTGGAGGGCCATGGACAGCCAAAGAAGCTGTTTCCAGGGAGGTCCCTGGTTCTCTGCAGGGCCTCTCACCTTGCCAGTGGTTCTCAGTTCAGGCTTTGGGTGGGTTTGCACCCATTTGTCTAAAGAAAGGGCACCTTGAAAATGTGCCTCTTGCAGGCCTGTGGTGCAGGGTTTGTCTCCTTTCCTTGCCTGATGGAACACCTCGCAAGCACAGAGTGAGTCGTAAGGAAACCCTGGGCTTGTCACTGCTCCCAGCCCCTTCTGGTGCTTCTGCAGGTTGTCCCTGCTCTGCCCAGGCCATCCTGGTCTCTCCTTTGCCTCCCAACACAGCCCCCTTGGTTTTTGTTTGTTGTAAGGTTGGAGAAGACCAACTCACCACCTGTTCCCAGCACAGCTGCGTGTTCAGATCGTACAGTCATGGAATCATTTAGGTTGGAAAAGACCTTTAAGATCATCGAGTCCAACTGTGTCCACACACTCTGGGCTCTTACTCTGGCACAGGCTGTTTTTGCTGCAATTCAGAAATCACACCAAGTAGCTGGCTGTGGACAGGGCTCTGTAGTGCTGGAAATGGTCTTTTTGCAGCCAGGTTTGGCTTTGATTCATCCCCTGACAGAAAGAAGATTGTTGGGTTCACCTGGGCACAGGGGAAGGAGGAGAACTGGGAACCCCAGTCCCTATCAGGGCTCCTGCCATGTCCTGACTTGTCTCGTGTTCCCGCTGGTGGCTGTGTTGGCGAGTGGCTTTGCTGCTCACCCTGGAGCTGGCTTTGTGGGGATGGAACCCCTGTGCTCAGACCCTCAGGGGCCAAATATTTATTGCCATGAAGTAACTGCTCAGCCGGCTGATGGCGGCCAGAGTGGGCTGGCTGGAGTTCCTTCTCAGATACAGGGGTGAGCTGCTTGTGAAGGAGCTGGCAGGAGGGACAGATTCTGGTGCCTGGGGCCTGTCTGGTGGTGTTAGCGCCGGCTGCCTCGCTTGCACCGGGTTTTTTATTCTAATGTGGGAGTTGAAATGTCAGTGAAGACAACGGTCTTCAGCTTGGCCAGGTAGCAGCAGTGAAAGCTGCAGCCTGCCTCTTCCTCACCAGGTCATTTGTGAAAGCTACTAATTGTCATCTTCTGGCTAGGATTTAATTCAGAAGATACAGTGTAAAGCAGCAACTTGTCCTTCTTAGGCAGCGAAGGCGGCGCTGGAAGGAAACGGTGTTTGGTTGTGAGGGAGCTTCAGTCTTGCTTGGACAGTGTAACTCCCCGTGGGATTGCTTACGTGGAACCTGTAAAGAGTGTTCTTGTTGCTGCTGATACTTGTGATTTATCCTGAAATATCTTGAATTGTGTCTTTTAGCAAGAGGAGCAGCATGTCTCCAAAGACAAATACTCCATCGTGGGAGCCTCCGGTACAACGTTCCTGCCAGCAGCATTTCTGCTGTCCACATGTACAGCACGCAGACAGCAGAGAGCAAGGAGGAGGAGCCCCTGCACACCATCATCAGCAACACGGAGAACGTGAAAGGTGGGCACCAGCGTCGGTGTGGGAGCACTCTTGGGGTGCAGGCAGACCCAGGTCAATGTCTGGGTGTAACTGTGCCCCAACTACAAGGCTGAGCCCTCTGCAGTAGTGCTTCTGCCTCTGGAGGAGGTGCAGGTCTTGGTCATCACATCCTGGCTGGCAGTTTGAGTCTATTGCACCATTCCCTCCCCAGAACTGGAACATGCAGATCAGAGTGGCCTTTGCTGAGAAATGAGGCCATCAAGACTGCAGGAAGAAGTTGCATCTTTAGACTTAGCCAGGCAGTTGATGGTGATGGATATATGTAAAGGCTCCACTGGCACTAGAATTTGCCTAAAAAGGGAATTTTTGTCCCAGAAGGAAGCTGTGCCTGCCCAGGTCATTGCTGTGGATCATGGAGGTCTAATGAGTGGTGTCAACCTTTTAGTTTAGAATTAATTGCTTTGCACATCTCCAGGGAGAGGTGCTTTAAAGCAAAGTCACGTGAGTCATTCAAGCACAGAAATAGCATCTTAACTCCGTGCTCCTGTGGCTTTTCTGGCAGGTACTTTTGAGACTGCCAGGCTGTGAAGCTCCCAGTGGGGTTGGTGCACTGCTCCTGCTGCTGTCCACGCCCCGGCTTCTCCCCTGTCACCGGGGAATGTCGGTCCTCGCCAGCAAGGCGTGGCAGAGGTGGGGTGTGACTCTTGGTTTCCCCATGTTGCTTCAGTTCTGTAATGCCTCTCGCAGGAGAAATGCTATTTTTGAAAGGCCAAGGATGGTCTCTCAGCTGAGATGTGTTGTGGTGTTATTCTTTCTGAGGAAAATTCTCTTTCTGGGCACAGGTACCTACCTGCATAGGTGGCTGTACGTGTGTCCTCCCTCGCCTGCTCCACAGAGACCTTGGAGAATCTGCCTTCTTCTGCTCAAGGCTCTGAGTGTTGCTTGGGCATGAGAAATGTTCCCTGGCTGTAGAAGCTCTCGGAGCAGGGCACGTGCAGATGGTTTGCTTGAAAATCAAGTCAAGGAGGAGTATGAAATGTGGGCTGTAAAGCACGGGAGATGCTTCAGGGAGCGGTTGGGGATTGCGTGGAGTCACACTTTAGGAGGAAGTGGAAGCACCTTTCACTTCTCATTTACTGATTGCTCTGCAGCCCAGACATGGTTGAGGAGTGAAGGTAAGGTTTGATTCAGCAGATCATGGTGACCAGCGTGCTGGTACCACAGACTGGGACTGCCTTGAGGTGTGTGTGCCAGGACTGGAGGCGCAGAGCCCGAGTGTCTGCTTGGCAGAGCGTGCTGCCTCATAGGGTGTGCAAACAACACCTTTGTTGTCATCTTGGTGGAGGCCACAGCTACCTGTGACCCATCCTGCTTCAGGCTTTCACTCCTGGGAAGCTGAGGCACATGGTAGGACTGCAGTTTTGTCTTCCTTCCCAAGAGGACCCTGGTGAAGTGCCTTAAAGGTGTGTCTGTGATTTTTTTCTAGGTGCAGCCTCTAAACATGAGTTTCAGGCTGAAACCAAGAAGCTGCTGGACATTGTTGCCCGTTCCTTGTACTCGGAGAAGGAGGTGAGGCACCCACTAGATTTTCTGTTGGCAAAGCCCTCTCTCTGTCAAGGGGTACATCCAAAACAGCTGAGCTGGGACAATACCTGCTCAGTTTCCCAGCAAGTCCTGTGCTGTTCACATGCCGTGCTTTTTTGAATGATGTTTTCTTAAGACACCTTGAAAATGTGTTTCCAAACCAGTTTGTAGGTATGACCAGGTGACTCTGTGAGCTCAGAGCCTCTGCCCTTTAATATTGAGGTCAGACAAACTGTTCTCGTGGCAGATAATGGGGAAACACAGTTCCTTTTCTAATGAGCTGGGAATTAGTTTGTGAGTAGGCAGTGAGCTCCCAGGTCTGTGGGAGTCCCGTGCAGGGGACGAGGCCGGGCTGCAGTGTCAGGTTGTGTCTCGTCCCCAGGTCTTTATCCGGGAGCTGATCTCCAATGGCAGCGACGCACTGGAGAAGCTGCGTCACCGGCTGATGGCAGAAGGGAAGGCATTGCCAGAGATGGAGATCCATCTGCAGACAGACAGTGGAAAGGGAACCATCACGATCCAGGTACCTCCCTTTGGTAACAGGAGAGCGTTATTCCCTGCTGCTCTCATCACCAGCCTTTGTCCCATGAAGGATCAGTGGAAGCTGAGTGGCAGCACAGGCCTGTGGATTCCCAAGCCTGCCTGAAAAAGTGCTCTGTGCTCAGCTGGGCCCTGGTTCATGAGGCTGGAACCTCAAAATTTCATGAGAAACCACCAATTTATCTGCTCCCCATAGAAAAATTTGCTGCTCCTTCCTTCTCTATTAGGAACTACCAGTAACTTCTCTCCCAGTACCTTGCCTGATGCACTTCCCAGGTTGTGTGTACATTTTTCACTAGTGGAAAAGTTCAGAGTGTGGTTTCATCCTGACTTTTGGGAAGGAATTCTGCCACTTCCTTAAGTCTGAGGTGTTACATGGTAGCTCACAGACCTTCCCTCTCACCTCAGTTGCTGGTAGATGCTGGGTGGTGAGAAGAACCTCTCATTGCTGATTGTCTCGATCTCCTCCTGCTCCAGGACAGGCGCAGTCCAGCTGATGCTGAGGCTCTGCCCTAACGTACAGGTGGGACTATAGGTTGCAGCAGTGCCACAGTGTTTGTCTGTCCTCCTTTCTGCAGCCCTGGTTTTGATGGTTCCATACTGGTGACAAAATGTTTGGCAGGAGCAGGGTGGTCAGCATAAGCCTGTTCACCTGTGGGCCTCAGTGGTGAGGGAAGGTGGAGCTGGTCCTTCTCTCCCTACTCTGATGGCTCTTGTTGGTGACTGTTGTCCAGGATGGAAGGCTGAGGCTCAGTTTTGATGTTTTCTTGGCAAACTTAATGCAAAAGAGGCAAACTGGTAACTTTCCTCGTGGAGCAGTGTCAGCCATGAGAGCGTAGCTGTGGACCATGCTCAGGAGAGTGGAGAGTGAGGCAGACAGCAGTGTGAGTGCAGGTCCAGGAGAGATGTGGCACAGACAGAGCACACGATCTGGTGTTTTTCACGTGGGACAAAAGCACTTGCTCTTTCAGGCTGCTCAGTTACTCTACTCTTCTGTTTCTTTGCAGAACAAGCAGCTGTGGTTGCTGTGGGGAAGTTAGTGATTGTCAGTGGGCAGCACTTATCATCAACCCAGAGATTCTCAGAGTGTAACGCAGAGGCTTTGCTGTCCCTATCACTCCTGACTATTGCATTTTTGTGGCTGCTGTGTAGCACCAGTTCTGTAACGAGCTCTTGCTTAGCCCCAGGCAGGCTGTCCTTCCTGCCTTGCTTCCTCTTT